GGAGGTGATGCTCGTTCCCTTATCACTAACTGTTTCACTAGCAAATCCCAATCGGCTCATGTAACTGATTAAGGCATTGGCCACTGTATCAGTTTCCATGTTACATAAAGGAATTGCCTGGGGATATCTGGTGGCAAAATCCATAACTGTCAGTATGTATTTATTTCCCCTCTTGGTGGCTTTGGGTAAAGGATCCACCAGATCAATTCCCAGCCTTTGGAATGGGGTAGAAATGACTGGCAAAGGACATAATTTTGGTTTAGTCCTGTCCTTCCCTGTCCCTCGTCTCTGACAGACATCACACGTCTTGGAAAAATAAGTAATCTGTTTACCCATACCTGGCCAAAAGAAGTTCTGGGCAACCCTTCTTTTGGTTTGAGTGATCCCCATGTGAGCCCCAAATAAACTACCCAGCAGGTGCGCTCAAAAGCAATGAGAAAAGATTTGGGACAGTCCCCTCTTTTATATTGGGGAAACTTCTTAAGATCAATTTTTGAGAGAATTCCACCTCCAACTTTGTTATTGTTAAGGTTATTTTTAGGAGCAGAATTTTCTAATTGTCTCATCTGTAATTGGAAATCCATCTCTTTTTGTCTTGGTTCTATTTCTCTTCGCCGTAATCGCAAAAACCTCATTGTACAGCGGATTCGTCGTACAACTAGGTAATCGTTAAGCGGGGCACTACTGTACAACATATATGTGATTTGTACAAATATATGCAAATATGTGATACATATATATAATTTTATATAATTTGTAGGCTGCCTTTTTACTGGTGAGGGTACCCAAAGAAAGCTCACAATATAAAAACAAGTAATACTAAAAACAATAAATTACAGGTTAAAAAGCAATTAAACAATAAGAATACAGTGGTGCCTCGCTTAACGAGCGGCCCGTACAGCGATGAATTCGCATAGCGATCCCTTTTCCGGGATTGCTAATGCGAAGGCATCGCGTCGGCCCCAATGGGCGAAATTGGCACTTTGCTTACCGACCTTCACTTTACGACTCGCAGATCAGCTGTTCAGCGGGTCCAAAATGGCCCCCGGAACACCCGAAATGGGTTTTCGCGCCCTTGGTAAGTGAGGGGAGGGCACAAAAATGGCTGCCGGACCGGAAAACATCGCTGTACGGTGAGTTTTCTGCCGATTTGGCTTTTTTTTTTATCCGTGCAGCAATGTTTTCGCTATGCGAGGCACCACTGTAGTTAAAAATCCATTAAGTAATTAAAATATTTAAAAGTATAGAAACAAAAGCTAAAAAAAATTACATTGAGGGACTCAGTCATAGTAATCAAAAGCCTGCTTGAAAAGTGGGTCTTCAGTTGTCAGCAGAAAGTTAAAAGAGAAAGGCAAGTCTGACTTCCTGAGGGAGGGCATTCCATAACCTTTGAGCAGCCTCAGAGAAAGCCAATAATATCCCAGTGGTTGCCTTCCAAAGGAGAAGGAAACCAATCCTAGGCAAATTATCCACCCTTAAACTTCTAACTGCTCAGTGAAGCAGGGCAAATGTTTTAACAGGTTTTCTCTGTAAATTCTTCCTCTTTATAAAGAAAGTTTACTTGATGTTCTGAAAGGAGATTTTGCTTGTGTTGGGCGGTATTCTCACTCTGTTCTGTTTCTTTGTTTTTACTATATTTTAGCTAATAATAAGTTTCTTATCAATGTTTTCTTCAATGATTTTTTCATATTTTATGGGAACAAGACTGACTTCTTTGTATATGTTCTGGGATGTATCTTGCAGGTGAGGCAGGAGATTGCAGATGTCTTGAAGGAAGGAGGGGCCCTGCAGGACAACCAGGTCCACCAGGATTTCCAGGTCCAATAGGACAGCCTGGGAGGAAAGGCGAAATAGGAGATCAAGGCCAACATGGAGTTCCTGGTTTTTCTGGTGCAAAAGTATGATACTTGTTGGATAAACTCATATTTTACATATCATTAAGTAAATTTTTATGCTAAAAGCTTAATGAAAATTGTGAATCTTCATGATTATTTAGTTTGAATACTTATTTACTCCTTTCAAAGGGACAAAAGTTCACAATGTGGTTTATATAAAACAATTTAGTAGTCTAGGTGTCATTTAGGCTCTGTGGAGGGTGTCTTCTGAAGAAATATGACTTACAAGAAGCATTATAGCAGCTTGCTTTTAAAAAATAACAATAACAACAAATATGGTGGAAGTGTTGGAGGTAAATAACCTGAAAGTCCTTTTGTACAAATGTGAAATCTAGAGATCTGCAGATCTGTGATTGTGGGCTGCAGCTTGCAGAACTCTGCCTGGGGAATTAGTGGAGAATTCAGGGCTTGCTGAACACATACAGTGGGGTCTTGACTTGAGAACTTAATCCGTATTGGAAGGCGGTTCTCAAGTCAAAAAGTTCTCAGGTCAAATCTGCATTTCCCATAGGAATGCATTGAAAACCATTTGATCTGTATCTGCTCTTTTCCGTCCATAGAAACTAATGGGAAGCTGCTATTCCGCCTTCGACCACTAGAGGGGGATATTTTGTTTCTTTTTTTCTTAGGTCAAGAAAGGTTCAGGGAAGGCAGGGAAAATACAGTCCAGGCAGGACCAGGCAGTCCGAAGACTGTCTCCCAATCCACTCTCTAAACGCTGGGAGGAGTGAGGAAGCAGACAGGCACCCTTTTCACTGTGACACTTTTATTCATCCATTTTTGCAAAGCATCCCTGGAAGAGATGATGAGTGCTATACGTGTTATCTGTTGGCAGACCAGTGTCCATCAGTAAAGATTAAAGTGGCCAGTTTCTGTGCAGCAGCACTAGTCTGCAGGCGAGAAATGGTGCCTTAATCCTCTAGATATATACATGTACGTATGTATGCATATATGGATATGTATGCATTGGGGGTGGGGTTATGCTCCTAACAATTTTTTATGGAATTTGTGTCCCTAAGAAACTGTCACACATAATGTATATTATAGTTGTATTGATTCTGTTTATTCTTATGCAGTTGTTCTGTGTTATTCACATCTGATCTGTTGATCGTACAAATAAAATAATAGTAATGTGGTCGATATGGTGATCCAGGATTTTCTAAGTATCAAATACTCAGAAAGGGGTTACCATTCCTTCTTCTGATGGCGTTATGAGAGATCATGGAGCTGGCTCAAGGCCACATAAGCTGTCTCTTCTCCCAAGAGGCCCAGGGGGTCTATTCCATTGAACAGCCAGATTCAATGTGGTTTAGGAAGAGTATTTTCCATACAGTAGCACAGATGAAGGTAGTGGAAGTGCAATGCAGTAATACCGCTGGACATGTTCAAATTGCCTCTGTCACACCACTGAGCAACAGGATCTCAGGAGGCATCTGTCTGTTAATCTAGCACATTGGTTCCCAACCTTGGGTAACCCAGGTGTTCTTGGACTTAAAATTTCCAGAAGCCTTCACCACTAGCTGCTTACTTACTTTTGTACACACCAAGGTTGAGAAGCACTGCTCTAGCAGATATGCTTACTTACTTTTGTACACCTCTCCACACAGATACACCCACCTCTCCAACTGTACAGCGACCCATAGCCTTAGTTTTTATGAATAGGCTCCCTCAGTCTTTCTTGGCCCTCTGCATTTATTGAGCCCTTCTCAAGAATTTGGCTGAGCAAAATAATAGGCAAGGAGGAAATGCATCAAGCTTCCTAGATTAACCCTTAGAGAAGGGTCTTTTCCCTCTGACGTTGTAGGCCAGCAGTGTTTCCAAGAGAGAACTCAGCTCAGTGTACTGCCCATGTGGAAGAACAGCAAGGAGGTCTAGCATGGGATGTAGCAATATTCCAAAAGAACCCTTGTCAGTCTTGATAAGACACTTAGTATTAAGTTGCAAAGTACAGTATTATTCAAGAAGAGGGGAAAGAGCATACCTGTCCCATTTCTCTAAGTGAAGGGTGGGCAAAGGATGACATATGTAGCCCTCAAGGCTGTTTGTGTGGGTCTTCCCTCCCAGAATCCCATGGATCATCTACTCATCCAAAAATACATGTTTTAATGTGTTTCTATGGGCTTTTTTATTTCGCATTGCGACGTTTTCATGCATCAGTGATTTTTACGGAACGAATAAACATCGCAATGCGAGGCACCACCGTACTATCCAATTTTTATGTGCTTGGCTTTTTCTGTTTGTATTTTTGACATTTAATGTAGCCTCCCCCTCCCCCTGAGAAGATTCCAGGAGCAGAAAATTAACCTCCAAAGCTACTGAAGTTGCCTACTCTGCCCTACATGGTCTCTCCCAAACATACTGTAACATTATGCTGAAAACCTTCAGCATTTATCACATTGTACAAAGGCTCTGTCCAGCTGTGATGGCCAGAGTTCCTGACTATGTTTTGATGACGGAGAACGTGATATAGGCTTGCCCCTGATTGCCACTGATGCCATTATACTCACCATATCTTCTTGAGAGTCAATGACAGCCAAGGAAGCATTTGACGCAGAACAGTTGTTCTTGCTGGACTCCCAATCGTTTTCTGTGTCTCCAAAATAATAACATCTCCTTCGATATCCAATCCAGCCATCTGGACAGCAGCTCACCGGAGCAACAGTAGATAGTGGCAGTGGTGCTTGAGTGCGTCTCTCTAGTTATAAGATGGATTCAAAAGATGAGACACATTACTGTCTAAATCAGGGAGGCGCAACCAAAAGCCTTCGTTCTATGTCAACCTTTAAATTGAACTTGGTTCTGATTCCAAAAGCTGTTTACAAGTAATCAGTTCTGGCTTTTGTAAGAACAGTTTGCATCTTTTCTGGCTGCTCACTAGATGTGGGAGGAGAAAGAGAAGATCATAGCAGAAATGGGGGGGGGGAGATAAAGGGTGTGGATTTACCTCTCTTTAACTGTACTCCCAATCCAAATCTGTCTTAAACCCCATTCACTGCTGGAATGTGAATAATGACAGAACATCCCTTGTGCCATTAGCTTTTTCTATAGCAGCTCTCAGATTTCTTCAAAAATTCCTCAGACAAAATTCTGGGAGTCTGAGCTTACAGACGCCTACATTTTATTCATTTGGACAAGGGCCTTCCTCAGAGGTCTCAGGCCTTTACTGCAAAATAAGTTGTCATCATGCTTCACTGCTTTTGTAAGCTCTAAAGAGGTTTCCTTTGGAAGAACAAGGGGCTCACCCACACTTGCAGAATAGCCTGCAATTTGGATCGCTTTTCTTGCTGTTTAGTTTACGGCATCCACACGTGTTTTGAATTAGTAGGATCTACATATTCTGGGAAGCGGGCCTGAGGATCTGGGATACCTGGGCCAGGGATATTCGTATTTGTTAATGAATACAAATATCCTATCTCTATTTGGAGCATTCCTAACCGTGTCATTCTGTGGACCTATGTGAATTGTTAGTTCGTACCTAAATACTGCTATGAGTAGTGTTATATGAAATGACACCCCGTGATGTAATTGGTGGGTTGTGCCATTGGAAGGTACCTGCTCTTTGGAGGTCCCAAAAATTAAGCTAGTCTGAATAGTGGGTTGAAAGGGAACCTTCAACCTACAACCAACAAGTGGTGCATGAAGATGTGTGTTAACTCAGGGGAGGCTAGGTGTGCAGTGAAAAAGCACCTGGGCGTAGGTGTGCACATACATTTTACCTTATTACCCTGTCTCTTAGGTGCTGCAATTCCCTCTCTGTAGCTCCCTGCTGCAGCTTCACTGCAGGAGAAACCTTGGAGGGAAGGACGCCCTACTGCTCTTCTATGGGTTTCCTGCATGTGAGGTGGCTTCCTTCTGAATGAAGAGACCTGCTGGGATTTTAAAGGCAGTGCATGGGTGTCATTTGGCCCTCGGTAGAGACTGGGGCACAGAGTACAGTGGTCCCCTGAAGTGAAGAGAGCTGGTGACGTTGTAAGCTAATCAGGCCAGCAGCTCTAATCTCTCCTCCCACCCCCATGTAGCCCAGGTGCTGGTTTACGGCAGCTTTGCTCCAGCCCCTTCTGGCATCGTCTTCCCCATCACTCATCATCCGCTGCAGAAAATGAGGGGGGAAAGCGTGCATGTTATTGCAAGAATCGGGATTGACAGTGATTGAGGGGCCTCCTGCTCGCCATTACTCAACACCTGCCAAGAGGAAGCAGTTGTCTTCTGGGGAAGGCTGAGAGGCATGCAAGCGTGCAGCTGGGGCTTGACCTGGGAAGATATGGGGGAAGAGCAGCATGGCCCTTGGGCTGCTTCTCCCCCAGCTTTGTGGTCCTAGTAACCAATACACCTGGATAAAGGTGACAGAGAACCTTCCTCCTCTATTTTATTCTCATTTAATTTCTTAAATATTTTCCTATTGATGCAGTGGTATTCTAGGTAAACAAGATACATTGGTGTTATGATGTGTCCTACGTTAGGTAGATTCATTGCTGTTTTGCTATGTCACAAAGGAAAGTTGCTGTGGCCCACTGAATGATGGCTGATGGGAAAACACGAGGAGGAGAAAGGAAGATAAATGTAATTAGTTGACAAATGGGAGCAATCCAAAGACCTCTTTGGACAGTTGTTCTGGGTTTTTTGGCCTCTTTGGCTGTGTTCTGAAGGTTGTTCTTCCTAACGTTTCGCCAGTCTCTGTGGCCGGGGTTTTCAGGT